TATATATATATATATATATATATATATATATATATATATTTTTTACAATTATACTGAACTTTTTATTATTTTTATAGGTGAAGATTATGTTTGGGGCACTGGAAGAGTGGGCATCATATGTAAAGGTGAGTTTTTTCACTTTTTTTTTTGTTGATAAATATTAATGCAATAACAAAAATTTATTTTGCGATCGTTCGTGTCAAATGTAAATCCATAAAAAAAGTTGATTTTTTTATAATTCAATTCAATAGAATAACTAACACGATTAAATTTATAAAAATTTAAAAATCAAATCAAATACGAATAACTAGTTATTTGTTTGTTAATTTTAATAATTCGAAAATCATATCGCTCTATCATATTCGCAATATTCAAAATTAACAAATCATGAAATATACCGACCGTGTAACATGGCGATATAGTCGCCCTCTTCGAAGTAAAATTGTAGAGCACGACAATACGGTTCATCATCGTTTCCTCGATCACCGTCGAGGGCGATACCGTAGCATAGTAACACATGCAGTCACGGTGACTTCAAGTGGCGTGCTGTCGTGTCCCCCTTCACCTTACCTCGCGTTCGTTTCCAGCTCAGCCGGCAGTTTCTTTTCTGAAACTCCACAACCCTCTCCTGTCCCTCTTATTCCCCACCACTGACGTTTTGCCATCGTACGACCCAGGAACGTATCTACTCTCTAATGAGCTTCGTTCCTATGCCGTTTAAATGTGTACAACTTCTTGATTCACTTTGATATTCACTATTTATACATTCGATCGATATTATTTAATATCTATTAATAATCCTACTACCTTCGTTACTTATTCTTTTTATCTTTTTATTAAGAGAGAAATAGATAGTTGTTTTTTTTTTTTTTTTTTTTTTTTTAACTTCCTACTCTTCGATTATATTCTTTTATAAAAACAATTACATATTTTTAAAATAATATCGTATCGTTCTTTCGGTCTTTGACATCAAAAGTTCTTTCATTCTCATGAATGTCTTTCGATATAGATATTCATCATTTTCAATAAGAAAAAAAGATCAAATTTCGCATATCTCAGTACGAGATATCTCCAGAATTATTCCATGATAATTCGTGCATCTTTGGCGAGCGTGTATGCCGAATATAGACGCGACTCGTCACGAATACATGGAAGATACAAAATTAGCGAACAGAAAGGTAGAGAAGCAGAGGTTTTCTTCGAATCGTTCCTGAAAGTATATTGACGGTATAGGTTAGCCAGTAGCAGATATCATAGACTGGCAACTGTGCAAACGAAATTACTTACGTTTCATTGGATTTCACGCTTGGAAAAGGAAACTATCGCGGCGATCACGTAGCACGCGGACGCGCGAGACGAGTGCTTTTCAATCAATCGTATTAGCACGAAATCGTACGAAAGAAAGCAGAAATCAGAGATACAGTTGATGTAACCGCACTTACGTATAGAACGACCGTTTTGCACGCTTTTGCTCTTCGACGTAATCGTACGAGAATCGACCAGATCCTTCACAGGCAATCATGAAAATCAGTGTATTTGATTGCACGAAACATTTACCACCAATATCTGAGCACTCTTATACGTAGCCATTACGTGTTTGTGAACTGTATCTGGGTATCGATACTTTACCACCAATATTTTCTGATGGAAGAAAGAATAAGAAGGAGGGGAAAAAAAGAAGAAAAAACGATCAAGTCGCGACGATAAAACGAGTTCCTTCATACCAAAGACCCGCTTCTGAATGTCTGCACCCTTCCATGACCTACGTTCGAGTCGATACGTCCTTGCGACTCTGATTTAGAACATTGAATTTCACGAGCATACGACCAGTGTCCATTTTTCCGATTAGTTTTTTCCATGGGGATGATTAAAATTAGTAGATATTATATTCAGTTTGATAGTTACTGGTATGCCATTTATGCGTGGATATGTATATCAAGAAAAAGGGGATAAAAATAATCTAAGGAAGAATACGAGGTCATCTCGAACTATAATTTCTTTTCTCTTTTTTTCTTTTCTTAATTTGATAGAGAAAAAAGAAAAGAGGAGTGAAAGTACATGCAATCGCATACTTATGGTAGAAACTAAGCGCGGGAAAAAGCGTGGATTAGAAAGAAGTTGGATGAAAGAGTCACATCAAAGTATGCTCTCGCACGATGTGAAATAAGAGGACTGGTAGACTGTACTATTCACTTGGCGAAAATATTTCCTTTCCTCGTATGAATTGATGATCTTTTTCGTTCTATTTCGTTGAAAAGAAGCGTGTTTGCTTCACAGTCGTCGAACAAAAAGTCGAAGAATCTGACTAAAAAATTCCTTTCAATTTCTTTCATTCTTCTATTCAAGAAGAGATTTTCACCGATTTTGATTGCGATGCGCGGATCGCGATTTGGCAGTGTTTCCACTGCTACACTGTGTTTCTCGATCTATAGGAAAATCCATAGATTAGAATATATAACTCGTGTATAATTTGTAATTAAATTTCTTCCATGCGCGTTATCTTCCTTGTGTAGAATAGTTCGTTCGTAAAATTGCGTGTATTGGCTGGGAAAACGATTGGGAAAACGGCATATATTTCGAAATATAGCATAATAAGACAATATCGAAATTATTCTGTTCGACGACAAGCATTGTTCATATACGTGCCACTTAACGTCCGTATCGTGGCTTTCTTTGCGCATCGATCCGCTCGTAAATTTAAACTCGTGCGTCATTCGTGATCAACGCTTTCGAAATTCATTGATCTTACTTTTATTTATTTATTTATTTATTTTTTTTTTTTGAGTAGTTCAAGCTGTGCAGATTTCAAATTGTTTTTTTTTTTTTTTTTTTTTTGTTATTTTCGTTGATGATCATCCCCAAATATATACGTACGATTGTTAGAATAAATGATAGAAGTGAAATATTATCGTTGAACTAAGAGGAATCTTATCGAAGACGATACACGCGTTGAGGTTAAAGAAGAGTGACGCCTAAGTGCGATTCAACGATGCGTTTCACTTCTCTCGGCCGACAAAGCGGGAGAAAACGATGAGGCATCGAGTTGTTTCGAAGGACAATCGAACGGGGTCAAAAGTCCTCCTGTTGCTACGTGAAACGAACGAAGCCATGGAAACGAGCTCGTCGCGCAAGCGCTTCGCCCTTCTGCTGCTTCCCCCCTTTTTTCCTCGATTTCCGGCTTCCCCAGTTCCTGTCTCCTTTCCCCTCCGCTCAAACAGATACGCGAGTTTTTCCACTTTTTTTAACCACATCGAATTACGAATCGGTGCGTATCAAATCTTTGGAAAAACTATAAAAAACTATTTTCATTTTCCTCGTTTTCAAAAGTCTTGCCGATTCGAATTTAGATACGTTCAAACCCTCGCGACTCGTTATTCGCCCAAGGTACTTCGACCTTCCCTCCTCTGATTTGTATTCGATTCGTCTCTGGAGAACGCCCTACACATTCTTATCGTCGAGGGGACATTTAACTTCCGTATTTCTCGCTACCTAAGCCTCGTTGCATCGCTTCGCTATGCGGCGAAGGTACGATGCTCTTTCGATAACGAGCGGGTCGTCAATAATACCTTCGATGATCAAAAAAAACGTTCGAGAGGACCAAGGGAAAGCGTCTCTTCTGGGTTCGTCACCCGATGCCGGGCCTGATGATTGTTTCGTAGTAGCCACTGACCTTAATTGAATGATTTCGATCCGAACGACTTCGAACCCTCCCTCGCCCGTTCCATTTACACGAACGATCCGAATGCACTTTGACTCTAAAACGGAAGCCTCTCGCAGCCGCTACGGTTATACTACGAGTATCATCCGGTTAAGCTTAAACAGTCAATTTCCACGCATTTACGTGGGGGAACGCAGGGATGGTTCGTAGACGGTCGTCATCATCGATTTTTCAGCAATGTTCGTGAAATGATCCGTATCGAGATAAATAATTTCCGTATCCCCGTGAATGATCAATTTGCGACGATATTGCGTGGAATCGATGCATCGAGTCGCATAGAGATTCCTATATCTATCCTGAACTTTGTGACGGGAACGCTGTGTCCAAGTGTCGGGAAACTCGAAAGTGAATTCCATGGGGGGGAAAAGCAGCGGTTGTCGAAGTTACACGTAAGCCAGCGACGCATAACAAGTCCTTCCGTATGTATAGAGGCGTGCTTTGACTCGTTCTCGAGTGCGCGGATACGTATTGCTTACTTACGTACATGCACCGACGCTCGTACACGAGCTTCTCGTATCAGGTCGGTCGATTAAACTAAAATTAACTCGTCCACCTCGAGCAGGCGAGTTCCCTCTTTCGGTGCACCTTCGAGCACCATACCGCTCGGTTAATGTCTCGATATTTAGTCACTCGCTGTCCTCATGTTTTTTTCTTCCTTTGTTTCTTCTCTCCTTTCTTTCTCTCCTTTCCTCCACCTTGAATTTTAGCCACGAATTTTCTTAATATACCCATTTTTTTTTTTAACAAGAGAGAGAGAGTTATTCTTTCAACGAAGAGCGCAGCTTGTCTAAATAATGCTTCGTGTTTTTCTACTCCACCAAGATTTTTCGACCGCGTGCAACGCGTATTACCGTCTTTTTTCATTCTTCTACCTCTTGCGCGAGAGAAAGGAGCGGCCGTTGCACGAACCGGGATTTGATCTTTTTTTTTTTTAGGATTCTCTTGTTAGAAGTTTCTTTAGTTAGCTTTTACGATTTCAGATAACTTTCATTCGAATAAAACTGCCCACTCTTTTCTACCTGTTTAGTTTTTCAAATTTATCGCCTCTTGTCGCTCTCGCGTATTCAAAGTCGATTTCTTTCCTCTTATTCATTTAGCCCGTGATTGAGTATTGGTATGCATGCAACGTTGACCGCGAACAACTTTATGTTTTTCGTTGTTTATGCTTTATATATATGCGCACGATACGAGAAAATCCCGCGTTCGTACGCGAATTTAAAATTGACGGTTCGAAGAAACGTGTTAGCTCGCCGCTTTTAATAAACGTTCCCGATCGCCGATGGATAAGTAACGCGTACAAGTTTCGATAATGCGAGATCACGAGAGCACGCCCACCTTTCTTCTTTCGCCGCGGTTCAACCCTCTTTTCGCCCCGCTGACACGATGAAATTCATTCATCATCCTTTTGTTCCGTTTTTTGATACGCTTCCAACGGTCTTGGCGCATACCCGATTTACAGTGTATACATATTTATGAGCGGAATATTTGTATAGAAGAGTCGGGAAGAGTCGGACCAAGTTATTCAACCAATGTTCCAGTGACTCGCGGAAGTCGAGGATAAAACTAGAACTCCCTCGTGCTCTTCTCCAACTTTTTACCGTTCGATTCTCTCGAAACACTCGCAAACCGCGCGAACGCTTATGCATTTCCTTCCTTAACCGCGCAACCTTCCTAAAATTATTATTGTATTCAAATTGGCCACGAGTAAAATAAACGATTCGCTTGGTTTTAAAATCTGATTTTAACGGATAAATAGAGCATCGGCCGGCGCTTCGTGTTCGAAGTACAAGACGCACTTGTTAGCGGTAATGAATTGCACCGGTTTCGATATAACGACGCGTGTCCCCTTTCCATACCGAGCCGAAGTGTGTCTCTATTTTCTCGTGTACCATGTAAATTACGGGGCAGACAGACGTGCGAGACAGGAGGGAAGACGGGAAATAAGGCGAGAGAAAACGATCGTGTTCGCTTATTTTCCACGTTTGCACCGATGGTCGCGTGACTATTCCGATTAGGCTACCGGCTGTATTTCGGAGACTGATACATGCATGTACAGCCGCGTACACGGTTGGCACACACATAGAACCGGGATGCACGCAATGGAGCTGCATTGATTCGCAGATATAGAGGCCCCCAGGCTCAGGGCGGAGGTCATGGGTAATGGAGTGCACCGTCACGTTGCTATGGGAAATTCAGGATTCCCGGGGTAAACGATGGAGCCGACGCGAGGAGAATAGGATATGTTTCGCGACAGAGTTAATCGAGGTTTACGGTGGCACAGGTCGCCAATGGTGCGCTCCCGTTGAATTAAAAGGACAGCATTTATATGGACCAGATTGCTCGTCGTCAGTTTCGTCTTGGGAGACATTACTCGCTCCGACGACGAGCCTTCTCGCTCCGAGATGTTCCCAAGGACGTTTCCATTTAGAATTTCGAGGAAAATCCTGGTTGAATTAATTCCATTTCGGAAATAGAATTCGCGATTCGGATTTCTCGTAAAGATACGTAACGGAGAACACGTGCACGCGATTCCAAGCATCGTATAATATATTTTCCCGATGACAATTTTCCGTTCGTCAATATCATCGAAACACCGGCAATTTTGTCGATTATGTACCACCGGCCCATAATTCGTCTCATTACATACGAGAATCTATCGCCTATCGATTCTTACACGTGCATTCTGTTATTCGCGATTCTTCGAATGGAAAGCAAATAACCAAGAAGGAAAGGAATAAAAATTCAATCTGACTAATGTTCGAATACGAAATAAGCAATGTTAATCCATCTCGATTTAATGCGGAATGTGTAATTGTGAGCAAAAAGAAGACACGGCACCCGGCATGAATTTTTACGAATCAATTTACATGGTTAAGTAATCACCGTCATCGATGCTTTCGACGTGCCATTGGCTTTGATCGGTGACTTCTTCCCCGGTATGTATGCAACCCGATGTTGGAATTAATTTACGCGTTAACTCTTTCGACTACGCTACGACATGTGAGACGTGCAAAAGTATCGAGCAGTCGAACAATGGAATAAAAAAAAAAAAAAAAAAGACTCAAAAATTCTCGTATTATACGGGTGCAACAAAGCGTGTCTTCGTCACGTTGTCGTATTTATTATAAATATTGACGAAAGCAAAGAGGGGACACGGTACATTATAGGAATCGACGTGATCGACCGATTTTATAACCATATGAGAAGCGTTTTTCCCTAGTCTAGTGTCAACCCACTAGTTAAACTGATGGTGATGATTGTGTGCCATTGTACGTACATCGGGCTATCTGCGTGTCACTGTTGTTAGGAAAAACTCGAGTATACTCGTCGTCAACGAGAGATTCGACATCGACGATACTCTATTATTTACCTTTAATAAATATACTCTTTATCGCGGCGATAAACATTCCACGAGCGGTACCGAACAACCGATACCGCCCCCAACGAGCCGGTCAAGTACAATGGCATGTATTGTTATCGCGACGTACATTTAAATACTCGAGACTAATCGAATTGGAGCGTCGCGAAAAAGAGTTCTTCATTTTGTTTATATCGTTAGATATCGCGGTCGCGCATGGTCGCCGAGATAAGATTTTTATACAGAAAATGGAAGATGGCGACAAGGTTCTCTTTGTAATCGGCTGTTAACATGTGCATAATACACGCGCTAACGCGTGACGATCCATCGCACGCAAAAGCCTGAGATCCTTTCGACCTATCGTCGTATTCGATCGATGGATCGATCGATCGATCGGCGAGCATTAAGAATAATACCGCTTTTGTTCAAGTTTCGGATCACGATCTGGCAGATTCTTGGGAGGCGTGCCTCCGTTAGTTGGGCCGCGTTTAAACCGTAGACGTAAAATTCTGTTCTCGGTGTGTGTTTCCTTCCATCTGGCTAAGCAAGTTTTTGTCGTGGCTTTTATTTGACCAGCCACGAGTCTCGAGCCTTGCATAGTTGAAAGTTATCAAGCAAGATTCGTGCAATAGAGATATTTAATAACGCGTGTAGAACGCGCGTGAAAAGCGCGCCGCGCCTCTTTCGACCTGATTTAAAACATACCATCAGTGCGCGCCAAAAGGAACGCGATTCTTGCCGCAACACCGTTGGATATCTAAGGATTTCTTCGGCTCTCACGACGCACACCTTGATTGAATCGAGAATGCTTTTCTTAAACAGATCTTTCGCCTTTCGATCGTCTTTAATCGTTTTGCTACTGAAAATCTATTGAATCGAAACGTCACACACACGTCATTCTTTGTTATTTCGAATAAAAGCGTACCCGATGCACTTCCTTCTTTTGGATATCCATTAACACCGTCCTTCTATTTCAAGTAGTAGTAGTTGTGACGCATCCTTATCTGAAGAGACCTTGACAAAAAAGAAAAAGGAAAAAGAAAAAAAAGACGTTTCGGGCATTTCAGACACAGAACAAGTCGTTAAGAATATAGGAAAACTACCGAAATAACCACAGACACGTCGATTGAAATTTAATCCCTCTCCCTCGTCTGTACAACAAGGGTCTATCAGTTGGCTTTTCGATGGGAAATCGATCGGTCCTTTTGTGTTTATAACATAGGGTGAAGGGTTGGTACGTGGTTAGTACTGTGACCTTGAACAGGATATTCGAACCAGAACGCCTGCGCGGCCGGATTCGATCATCTCGCGTCCAGGGATCCTTGCATCGCGTCATCTCTCTCTCTCTCCCCCCCCCCCGCGTGTCTCCTCTTTTACCTTGGAAAGTCGCTTTTCACTTTCACATCCCTTTCTTCCCTTTCAAGTACTACACGCGCGCGGCCCTTTCAAATGATTCGAGTAGCGGGAGGCCCTTGGTGCGCGCGAGAGCACGTGCGTACGCACTTGAGCGTATCGCATGCAGCGCTTTCACGATAAGAGCGAGAGTAAAGGCTGATCGTAAAGAATGAAATCTGATTCTGTCCCCGTCAGCATTGACATTTACGACACGGGAAAGGGGGACGGGAATTTTCGATTTTTACTCCTTCTCTCTAACTATCGCGGATAGAGAGAGATTTTAGAACCACAGATTTATCCCCCTTTTTTCAACGAATCGACAATTTTCGACCATTGAATTTCCAAGAGGGGTCGAGGATGGGTTTATCCCGAAACCCGATTCGTTTTATTATCCATTTATTTTTACGCGTTTGAACCGATGGAATTTTTGCCTATTCCGGATCTTTGAGTCATCAAACAGAGGATTTACGTTTGACGCGAACGGTCATCGAACGTTTTTCGAACGAGGCACGTAACTTCCAACAATACGATATTGGTCCAGCTCGATTTAGTCACGAACAATGGCGAACGATGCTTTTTTTTTTTTTTTTACCAAGCATGACTTTTACATCAGCTCTTATATATTTAATCGCGATCTTTATTCCGTCGCGTGCTTAGAAACTGCAGATGCGTTCGCGCGGTAGACTTTATCGCAGCTGGTCCCAGATAAGAATAAGAATAAGAGTTGATAGACCGATTGTAATTCGATGATAATTTTTAATTAATTGTTCGAATCTTTTGAACGTGTATTCTATATAAAATCGGAAAACCTTGGATGATTATTTAAAACCGTGATTATTTCAAAAAAAAAAAAGAAAAGAAAAAAGGATGAAAAAGGAAAATATGAAAATGAAGAAAGATATATATATTTCGGTGTATAATCTGATTTTTGTTTGATAAAAATCATCAACCTTTGCCATTAATCAGATGACAGATGAAATTCCGATAATCGTGACTCTATTCACGTTTTTTGATTGGTCATTTGTTGATCGTTTAATAAAAAAAAAAAAAAATCTTCATTCGCTCGAGGAAATGGCCGTTTCTATTTGATGTGAAGTCGAAAAACGAGACCCCCTGAGCGTGAGAAGCATGTAAGCCGAGCGTAAAAAATGGTCGGGGAATTTCCACGAAGCCGCTTCGATCGGCCGGTAAGCCCGGGGTTCCGATAGTCGCTACGTACGGAGATGGCTCGCATAAAGGCCACGGAAAGAGCCGAAACGAGGCGGAACAGACCGAAGTGTAACGCCGACGGTCGAGCACGAGCAACCCTCGGCAGGCTGCGACTGCTATGGCTATTGACCGAACTTGGCGGACCGGCCGGTCAGCTGTGCGCCGAGCCGCCGGAGATATTTTCTCTGGTAGGAAATCGTCCGTGTAGATGTATGATTCGCGGCCGGTGGCAACGGCAAAGAAAAGTCTATTGGAGAACGGAATCCAGTGTGTTGGACGGGATCTGTGGAAAAGTTAAAACGCTTCGACAAGGATCGGCGAAGGTGGAAAGACAGAAGAAACCTAGAGACAATATCGGACAGCTAGACAGAGACACTGTATCAAGTATCGTAATACGTGACCGGCGATCGTACGGAAAATTAATGGTGCTACTTAAAGCGATGTGTACTTGTTCAATAAATCGAAGACACCGATCTTAACGACTTGGGATTCAGTGAAAGCCAGTTGAAAGAAGTTGGAAATCTTCTCCGTATGCTTGTGAATAATTTAATAAACTTACTCGATGAAATGAGAGGACATTGGTGAAACAGAAAAAAGAATAGACCGGGGGAAAAAAAAAGAGAAAAGATAGAGAAGAGAAAAAGGGAAAGAAATTGAAGACTGGCCCACGGTTAGTCGGCACGTAGACCGGCTGTGTATGGCGAGCAGACGAAGTGAAGGAGAGAAATATAAGAGAGAGTAAAGGAACGAAACGTGAGAGAAAGAAACAATAGTGGCAAAGGTAGAAAAAGAGAGAAAAGAGTGAAGGAACGAACAGCGGTTGAGAAAGAGAGAAGAGAGAAGAGAGAGAGAGAGAGAGAAAGAGGAGTATCGCGAAGGAAAGAGGCAGATGTATAGATAGGTGTCGTGCACATACATGCAGAAAGTGACGTGTGTGCCGTCGTCGTGTGTGCAGGTGTGCGCGTGGTGCAGGCTGCCGGTGCAAAAAGTGCAGTGCCCAGTGGACTTTTCCATCTCGTGCGTGCGCTGTTTCTACGAGTAGGCACGTATATATGCCGGTGTTCCGGTGTAGACTGATCGGAGAACGAATAATACGGTAAGAGAGTTTGATATCATCGTTTTCTACGCCGGTTATACTCGATTAACAAAAGATTAAGTTCGTTTAAAGATTAAGTGCATCGAAGTTTTTTAGGATGAAATCGAATTAGGAATGTGTCAATACACAAGAGGAATTGTAAAATTGGAAAGCAAGAATTTTGTAATATAATTTTGAAAAACCTATTTGATATATATCGTTTGAATAGAACGATCATCAACGAGGAAATTATATATATATATATATGTGTGTGTGTGTGTGTGTATAACGAGAAAAGAAACGGGGTAATAAGATCGTCCGTGACAAACTGCTTTACCGACAGATTCGTTGACTCGCTGTTGGTAAGATACCTCTATAGTGATCTATCGACGAGGAAGAACGGTGAGGCAGACCGAGGAGACGCAGCAGTCGCAGATTACTGGTGGTCGTGATAAGGGCAAGCGCGGATGTATTCCGTTTTGTGGATGTGATCGATGATATTTGCGCGGATCGTTTGAATTAATAAATCCACTTTATTATCTAAAGAACAAAAAAATATGGAAAGTTTCTTAATCAATTTTATCGTGATGATCGATTGTGAATTTTTAAAAAAGAGTCGTCTGATTCCCGGGCAACGTTGTGTGACTGGATTGTGAACCTGTGAAATTAGACGAACACGTTTCCTTTACAAATGATTCTTCTGTTTGCCTGTTGTCTCAATTTGAGAGCTATTTTATCCAATCCGTCTTGAATTAACGCATACTATTAAGACGATAGACACAGGAGCCGGTTGTTTCATCGCAATTAACGACGGTGAAGGTTATGAAGATCCGGATCACTAACGTGCTTTTTTCACGCTCTCTATCTCTCTGTCTACAAAGAAGATTGTTTTTTAATTTCCAACGAGAGAATAGAGGTTATAGAAGAGAAGCCACACGAAACGAGCAACAGAAGAGGATAAACGTTAATAGACACGTTTGCTTGAGTAGGCACAGTAATCGGAGATCGAGGTGCGCGCATGTCGCTCGATCCACGACCGATTCGATCTGAAGCGTATAACAAACTTGTTCGACCGCATTGGTAAAATAATTCGATCTAATTGACGAAGGGAACCGCTTTAAGGTCACCTGGAATTGCTCTCTCGAATAACCCACGAGGTACTCTCTTCTCGTCTATACAGGCTCGCGGGACTACGTTGAAAATCGTTCGGTGTCGTTGCTTGACGAAACCGGTTTCGTTCGGCTCGGCGAATCTCGGCGTTTATACAAAGGTCGTGTGTGCGCGCACGAGAGAGAGTGGTAGGAGTGAGATTTATGAAAAACGAATTTACGCGAGGTCACACCCACGGTAGTGACTCTTTCTTTCTCTCTCTCTCTCTCTCTCTCTCTCTCTCTTCTTCTTCTT